AAGATTCCAAGAGGTAGAGGGGAGAAGGAAGGGAGATTGTTCCAGGCATGAGGTGACAACCAATCTTGGAATCATCCATGGAGGGTTGATAATTGACCCTATGGGACCTGATAAGATCATCAAAAGGAGTATGGAGCTAGAGGCAAAGAGAAGAAACCCCAAGGCAGAGACTTGGCTACAATCAGGGCAGTATTTGAATGATGATCTAGCAAAGGAGACAGAGGAGGAGCCATCAGACAGGTAGGAGGAGGACCAAGAGAGAGCAGTGTCATGAAAACCCAGAGAGAAGACATAGGTTTGAAAGCCGCAGAGAGGTCAAGAAGGATGAGGATCTAGAAAAAGGATCCCAGCACACTTAATTAAATTACTTAATTAAATGTCAAATGTATGTCTGGTTGTTGACATTAACATTAGTATTAGGTCACTTCATGTTGGAATGGGGCCATACTCTTTTTAACAACAGTAGGGGAGTCCTTTGCATAATCAGCAAGTATTTTACATTTATTTCCATCTCAGTGGCTTTTATAAGGCAGGTAGGACAGAGTAGTAGAACGTGTTTGGAGTCGGAGACCTTGGGTGGCCACTGACTAGTAGTTTGGGAAAATCTTGGGAAAATCCTTTTTCTCTGCTCTATGCTTCCCACCTCTGTGACTTTACGCAGGTGTTCCCTCGGGCTGGTAATGCACTCCTTCCTTGCCTCTGACTCTTCAAAATTTTCTTTTCTTGTAAGTCTCAGTGTAGGGACTATCTACTCATTGAGGCCTTCCCCAGCTCCTCTAAATGGTCAGTGTCTCTTTCCTTCCTCCTCGAATTTCTTTGTATTTCTTTATCTGTTTTAATGCTGGATTCCTCTTCCTAACCCTCATCAAAGAGATGCAACTCAGCCATGTGCTGGTAAAGAGTCTTCAGAAAAAAAGTAAATGTATGCAAGACACACTTTTAACTTTAATCTGCATCTTTATCTCTTCCTCAACAAAATAATCAAATCCTGATTTATGGCAGGGGAGAGGGTTGGTTTTTTTCTTTTTTTTTTCTTTTTTTTTCTGTTGCCAATTTCTAAGGTGTAAATGTTCACATGGGCAGCTAGGTGGCGCAGTGGATAGAGCACTGGGCTTAGAATCAGAAAAACTCACCTTCCTGAGTTCAAATCCAGCCTCAGACTGTCAAATGAGCTGGAGAAGGAAATGGCAAACCAGTATCTCTTCCAAGAAAACACCAAATGGGGTCATGGAGAGTTGGATGCTATGGAAATAACTCAACAACAAAAAACGTTCACACTGAAAATGTTACAATCAACTGCCTCCAGCAGATCCCTGAATGTAAACCCCTTGAGGGAAGAGCCTTCCTAACACTTAATCACAGTGTATGAAACTTGCTGGGCAATTAATAAATGTTTGTAGGATTGACTTGAATTTATGGTAACTTTATTTGATGCCTTAGAATTTAGAGGGATTTGGAAAAGCATGGCTTGTATGCTCAAAGTCTCTCACAAGAGAGGGCCCAGGAAGGAAGGCTTTGAACAAAGCCGTCTTCTCTCTTGACAAATTTCCTCTTGGCAAGCGGAGGCATATATGTTCATTCTTTTCAATAAGAAACATTGAAGCATCTAATCATAATAATGCTTAATTATAGTTGCCAGAGGGAGCTTCGAGGTTTACAAAGCACTTTATAACCAGTTTAATTTTAGGGAATTTCACAGTTGGAAGGAGCCTCAGGACCCATCTAGTCCGACTGAAATCTTTTTAAAATCCCCATGATAATACAGTAGAGAAGCAGTCATCTAGCCTTTGTTTGCATTCCTCCACTGATGGGGGACACACTATCTCTCCAGGTAGAGCAGCCCATTGCACTTTGGAACAGCTCTCGTTGTTAGGAAGGTCTCCTCATTATTCCTTATTTTTCCTTATGAGGTCGAGAGAGATGAATCTAATCTCTCCTTCACGTGACAGCTCTTCAAATATTCCCAAGACAACTTTCATGTTTCTACGGATTCTCCTCTTCTCCAGGCTCAACATCTCCAGTTCCTTCTAGCACTCCTCATATGACATGGACTCATGGTACTTCATCATGTTGATAGCCATCCCCTCCTCTGGACATTCTCCATCTTATAGATGTCCTTCAATTGTGCTGCCCAGAATCAATCAGAGATGAGATGTGAGAAGGACAGAGGACAATTAGGACAGTCATTACCTTGGTCCTGGATACTAGCCCCTCTTGATATTCTCCAGTTGTTCCCCACTCATGGAATGCTCTTCCTCCTCAACTCCACCTGCTGATTTTCTTGGCTTCTTTCAAGTGTCAACTAAAATTCTATCTTGTCTTTTCCAACCCTTCTTTATTCTGGGACCTTCCTTCTGTCAATTATTTCCTACTTATCCTGCATGTACCTTGTTTGTATATATTTGTTTTCATGCTTTCTCCTCTATTAGATTATAAGCTCTTTGAGGGCAAGGACTATCTTTTGCCTCTTTTTGTACCCCCAGTGCTCAGCACAGTGCCTGGCACATAGTAGATGCTTGCTAAATGTTTATTGATTGATATGATCCTCACACAAAACTTTTGAGGTAGATGCTATATTATAATATGTAATATATATAGTATATAATATATAGCATATATGATACATAGTATGCTCTATGGTATATACACTAGACATAGTATATATAACATATATTATACTATATCTACTAACCATAACATATTATACTATATAATAATGCTATAATATATAATATATGTTATTCCCATTTTACAATTTAAAAAACTGAAGTTCAGAGGTTGTGTCTTGTCCATGCTTGAGCATTTAATATCACAGAATGTCAGAGCTGGAAGAGATTTCAGATGCCATTTAGTCTTAACCCTACCTGAAGAAGAATCCTCTCTATTTCCATACCTGACCAGTGGTCACCCAGGATCTGGCTGATGACCTCCAGGGAGGGGGAACCCACCACCTACTGAGGCAAACCATTCGACTTTGGGAGAGCGCTATCAGGAAGACTTTTCTTACCTCAAACCTACATCTGTCCCTCTGTAGCTTCCTTCCTTGGCTCCTGGTTCTGCCCTGTGGGACCAGGCAGAGTGAGACTAATGATCCCTCTTCCAACCTGGGGGCATGACTTCTGACCCATACATGGGCTGCGCTAATGCTTGTTTCCTCTCTGCCAAAAGGATGGAAACGTTTTACCAGGAAGCTAAGCTCCATCCCAACATCCTCTCTCTGTGCCTATTTCCACCTCTGCCCAGGCGTTTCCAAATATCATAAATCTTCTGATATGACACATGCAGAACTTCATAGAAATTCCAGTCATGGGACTGAAAGGCTTGATGTTCAAGGACCACCAAGAAGAAAATGATCTATAGACATTTCAGTTGGAAAACAAAACAAAACATTGACCTGGACGGGGAGGGTCTGTTTGAAGAAATACTCCCTCAGGAGGCAAAACCACAGGACCCCAGGATTTCAGAGCTTGTGGGGACTCATGGCCCCCTAGTCCAAATCACACCTAGACAAGAATCCTCTCTACACACTGGTCATCTAGCCTGTGTTTGATGAGCTCTAGAGAGGACAACTTCCCTGACTCCCAAGGCAACCCACTTGGTTTTGGAGTGTTTCTCATAGTCAGGGTGTTTTCCTTTATATCCAACCTAAATTCACCTCTTCCCAACTTCTATTGGTTGTTTCAAGTTCTGCCCTCTGGGGCTAAATAGAAAGAAGTCTTATTATCCTTCTACATGACAAATCTTTCAAATATTTGAAGAGGTTCATCATGTCTCTCTCTCTAATCTAGGTTCCCCCACTATAATCCTCAGTCTCCTCTTCCCCAAGCCAGATACCCTTAGTTCCTTCCACTATTTATCATATGTTATAGAATTAAGGGTCTTCAATCAAGCAATGTCCTTCTCTAAGACTCTCCAGCTTTTCAATGGTCTTCCTAAATTGTGGTTCCCAGAATGAAACTATCTAACTATCTATCTATCTATCTATCTATCTATCTATCTATCTATCTATCTATCTATCTGTCTGTCTATCTATCCACATATACACATACATATATACATGGTATACACATACAAACATATATACATACACACACGGTAGAGTCAAGGGCATAGTAGGAGAGTTCGCATTTAGAACCCAAGACTTATATCTCCCAACTTTCTGTGGATGCCTACTCAATAACAAATAAGTAAACCTTGTCCACACTAATATTTTGATTGAATAAATTGAGATGAAAGTGTAATTGAGGATAGAGGACCTACTATAGTAGGTGGTGCCAGAGAGGTCAAGTAGTTCATGGAGCTATGGAAGTTCACTTCTTGCTATGATTTAGAAAGCCAGTCAATTTAATAAGCAATAGGGGCCTACTATGAGCTAAGCAAACAAAATAGTCTGTGTCCTAAAGTATGTTACATTTTATTGAGAGGAAATATATAGTCTGCCTGGGCCATCTTTTCACCAGAGATGTAAATAGGGCAGAACAACTGGGGCTTTGACCCAGGTAATGAAATTTGGGAGGTACTGATGTCACTGGCATGGTTATAGAAACATTGAGCCTTGTGCCTTAGCTAGCAAAAACTGTCAGTCAAAATAGCAAACTTGCACATTAAGTGCTTCTGACTTCTCCACCAAATGAAGAGGTACCCAAATTGCTATCATCCTCTTCTCTCTTTTGATCGTCACGAATACGGATTCTGGCCCACATCCTGGAACATTGTTGGGTTGGTAGGTCATGATTCAAAACTTCCCACTTACCTTGCTTCCTTTGCTCAGTGGAGAGAGAACTAGATCATAGGCTTAGTGAAATATCCTTTGGGGGTATTTTTGGCTTCTTACAGGCATGTAAGCTCATCCCATTCCATGATTACAAATGGTCAATTTGGGACCTCAAATCACCATGGCAAATTTTAATGCAATTCATAATTTCATTCTGGAATGTTCCCAAGGGTGACTCCCCCCACCCCAAACTCCATGGAGATTCCCAATAAATACACCAACTCTCTATTATACATAACTATCTGCTTTATTTGAAACTGTCTACACTGCATTAAACAGTGTTAAGAAACCCACTGTCCTGTCCCAGCAGGCACTGGGTCCAGTGTATAATTTGAGATAGACTCTTTTATTTTTTTCATAGAGTGGGGAAGAGGAAAAGAAAGGAGAAGTGATAGGAAACAAAAATTTTAAGGGAATGGTTATAAATCACTAACCAGAAATTTGAAGGGGGGGGGAAGGGGAGATAAAAGACATGGTGTTTATAAATTCTTTCAATCACACTTTATTAGACCGTCTGCTTCCATCTCTTGTGTGTTTAATTTGTAATATGGTGCTGATGGGTAGCTTCACCCTAGAGTAGATTATATAAAATAACATCCAAACGTTGATATAAGACAAGAAACCCAGGAGAACAAGCTGTATTTCTCAGGTAATGGCTTCCCGTCCTATACCAATTCATTGGACAATTTGAAAGAACTTAGGTCTGAAACTATATCCAGTCATTCCAGGATATGTGTCAATGAATGATGATGCCTTTTGAAAAAAAAAATAACTCAATGGACATTCAGTAAAGGGCGTGCTGCATTTGACACTACTGGGATGATGAGCTAATAATGAGGAATAATGAGATAATCAGGAAATTTGACTCACTTCTCAATATGTGAAGTCAACGAATGAAGAACTGGAAAAGTTTTTGAGTCATATGTGCTTTAAAACCTTACTGCTGTTTAAAAATTTAACTCTAGCTACATTCGTTTTCCATTTCATACATCTCTCCAATGTGACAAAGGTTAAGGAGGCAAATAAATGCAGGAAAACTGACACGTTCTGCTACTTGCAGTGTATCCCAGTACAAGGGTCCTTCATGATTTAGAGATATGTAGCAAAATGCTTTTAAGCCTGAGTCATGTTAGCTGCTGGCAGCTTTGTGGCTGCAATGTATGATCTAGCCCAGCAGGGCCACATGCTAAGGATCAGAGGGGTTATAGTGATGTGGTATTGGCAGCCAATCAGAAACCAACCTTCCTTTAAGTAGAGGACCACCCTGGACCCATTCACTTCAAAACATGCAGAGATGGGAGGCTGTCAGCTCAAAACATTGAGTCAACAAGTCCTTTCTGGAGAAATTTTTTAAGCAGCCCAGGAGGCCTTGGTGGGGGGAGGGGAGGACTTGTCTTCCCAGAATCATGGATTTCCTGTTTACTATCTCCAATGGTTGACTCCATGAGGGAGTCTTTGAAGTATTTTATCCCAATCAACTAGAAACAGCTGTTCACTACATCACAAAGGCTTAGGACGCTTTTTGATCACTGCTCATTCCAAATTCTAAGGAAAAAGGAGCCTAAGGTCTTGCGCACCTCAGCCCATCAGAGTATGTGAAGCTATCTCCTGGAACAGCATGGTACAGTGGAAAGAGTCCTTAATTTGGAATCAGAAGACTTGGGTTCAAATCCTACCACTGTCACTTACTGCCTGTGCGACCTTGAGTTAAGTCCTTTTACCTCTCTGGCCTCAGTTTCTTCACTATAAAAGGAAGGGCTTGGGCTAGGTAACCTCTAATGATGATTGCTGACATTTCTAAGGTTTGCAAAATGTTTTGCATATATTGTCTATCTGATCCTCACAACCTTAGGTGATGACATAGGTAAGTGTCAGCTTGGGAAATTCACTTGATCTCAGTTCTCTCATCTGTAAAATGATGAGTTGGACTAGGTGACCTCTATGCCCCTCCTTTCTAAGGCTATGACTCTGTTCTCCCATTTTAATAAGGGAACTAAGGTTGAGAAAGGTGAAGTGCTTTGCCCACAGTCACATAGCCAGTAAGTATTGGAGGCAAGGTATAAACACAAGGCTCTATCCCCTCTGCCCCAATGGCCCTTACAAATGTCCCCCCCTCCCCAGTTCTAGAATTATGACCCTCTGACCCATTTAACAGCAGTACAAGCTGAGTAGAGTGAATGCCAATATTTCCACATTCCTTTTTGCTTTCAATAGCAACTGAGCACATTAAGAGCGTTCCAATACCATTGGGATTCTGTTGCTGCCATTTTGGTTGCATATGGGCTCACTGGTCATTGTTTCCTTGTTTCCTATCCACTGTTAGACATTTTTTGAGTCATGTCACCTACTTTTACAATGTGTATATATAAAAATAAAAAAAATGATTGAAAAATAACATAGGTTCAGAGTCACAGGCTGGAGGAGCCTTCTCATTTTCAGCTCAGGAACCCCTGGGAGAGTTTCAGGATCACCATGGATTTCGAACTGGGGGAGCAGCTCTTCCACAGATCATCTTCTCACATGGGTATGGGAAGCTAAAATAGGAGCTCTCTTTAAAAAATAAAACAGTTGGCAGAAGGACATGATTCTCCAGTCATCTATGGCCTGTGGGAAAATAAGAAAAAGGAGATGGTCAATTAATTTGTTTGACTGATTGTTGGCATACCAACTACCTATAAATAGAGGGTTGGACTCAGAGTCAGAAAGACTGGGGTTCAAATATTGCCTCTGATGGTTGCTAGCTTAGTGACTCTGGGCAAGTCACTTACCTTCCCTAGGCTTCAGTTTCTTTATCTGCAAAATGAGGAGGTTTGACTAGATTACCCATATGGTCTCTTCCAGTTGTAAATCCACAGTTTTATAATCCACGTGGTCTTTTCCCTCACTAAGTACTTGTGGTCTGATACGGTGCTCCCCTCCCCTTATTTCTAGTGCCTGATCTTATACACAACTAGAGAGGGGTTTCCAGGCACCCAAAAGAGTAAATTCAGAAGAAACTTGGGCAGCTAGGTAGCATGGTGGATAGAGTGCCAGGCCTGGAGTCAAGACCCGAGTTCAAATCCTGCAGACACTTACTAGCTATGTGAGCCTGGACAAGCCACTTTACCTCTGTTTACCTTAGTCTTCTCATCTGTAAAACAGGGATAATAATAGCACCTACTTCTGAGAGTTATTGAGAGGATTAAATGACATAATAGTTGTATAGCACTTTGCACAGTGTCTGGCACATAGCAAGCACTATATAAATGTTAGTTGTCATTATTATTATTTTTTTTTTTGAACAGCTAGAAGGTACAATAGATAGAGTGCTGGGCCTGGAGTCAGGAAGACTCCTCTTCCTGAGTTCAAATCTGGCCTCAGACATTTACCAGCTGTGTGACCCTGTACAAGTCACTGAACCCTATTTGCCTCAGTTGCCTCCTCTGTAAAATGAGTTGGGGAGGGAAATGATAAACCACTTCAGCATCTGTGCCAAGAAAACTTCAAATGGGATCATGACGAGTAGGACATGACTGAAACAATGGAAAAGATAGGTAGGTAGGTGCTGGAATGAGTTCTTAAGCTAATTAATTGTCAAAGTTTCAGTGTGAGATCTTACATCTCAGAAATCCAGAAATGGCTACAAATCAGGGCTTGATTTATTGTTTTGTTGATTTCTAAACTTAAGAAAGTGTTAATAATGTAGATTAAATTTAAAAGTGTGTGTGCATACATCCCCCCCCACCAGGTCCCCCCTCCAGAGAGCCTGGCTGTTCAACATTTATCAGCATAGTGCTGCACTGCTCCATAAGTAACGCTTGAGCTCAGGAAGAGTTCAGTGGAAGGCTCAGGGAACGAAGCAACCACCAGATTGCAGGCCTGGTGCCTATAGAGCAGTAGCAATGATACTAACTGGCACTCACACAGTGCTTTAAGGTTTGCAAAGTACTTTCTATCCATTATCTCGTTTAAGCCTAACAACACTTCTGTATTTAAGTGGCACATAGATGCACCCTAATTCCTTTCAAGTTTTAGCTTGAAGCAGGATCTCAAAATTGAACAAGCATTCAATGCATGCTCACAAAATGCCCATGTCCTGAACTAAATCTCTTCCTAGATATTTAGAATGACTGCATATACCTTCTAATATTAGCAAATTCAAACACAGCCCAGTGGGAGACAGAGAGATGGTTCAGATGACCTCCAAACACTACTGATAGGAATAATGATGATGATGATGATGATGATGATAATGACTGATATCTATTTTGCACTTTAAAGTTTTCAAAATAATCACATATAGATAATTTGATTTTCTCTTCATAGCAACCCTCTGAGGTAAGAAAAATTACTAAAGGCCTTATTGTCCCCATTTTATAGATTAGAAAACCAAGGCTTGGAGAAGCTAAGGGATTTGCTCAAGGTCATATAACTAGGAATTCTCAGGGACTGGATGTAAAAGCAAGTCTCTTCCAAGTCCAAGCCCAGTGTTCTTTCTACTGCAGCTCAAGGGTCTCCTGAAAACCACACTAATCATGCATGTATCATGTCAGTGTATAGGTATTTTACTTACGAGTACCTGCCCGACATTTTCCTCACGACTGCAATGACGATTCCAGCAATGATACCAATGGCGATCACGATTCCCAAAATGATTCCCACCAATGCTACAGTCTCCAAGCCTCCTAATATAGAGAAAGAGAAGCAAGAAAGAAGCAATATTGGTATTTCTTCCAAAAAGAGATGGAGAAGGGTAACACCCATGCACTAGGAGTAGTATCTCTACTTTGAGTCAACATTCTAGTCTGAAGTGTGGATGGATTTGTACTAAGCTACATATAGAAGGATGGTTGGTTTACAGGTGGCCCCAGATAATCATAGCAGCAAATTTCCAAAATGTATTATTGTCCTCTCATCACCCATGGATGGATTTAGAATTGGGGCATGATATAATGGCTGACCTTGAGCTATTCTAAACTATCTGGGTACAAACAAGATCCTTATGAAATAGGCTTTTGTCTATTGAGCTTAAGAACATCTTAACATTGCTATTAATTATTAGGAAGAGTTTTAATAGGGCTATTAAGATAATCATGATTTTCTAGTAACCATAAGTTGCCATCTTGGGCATTAAAAGCTGTTTCCCATCTGGCTTCAGTCTAGCCTTCCAGATTTATTTCACATTATTCCCCTTTATACCCACTCTCCTTTCCAGCCAAATGGCTCTACCTGCTGTTCTCCAAACTAAACACTCCCTCCTCATCTCTGGTTTCTGTACCTTTGCTCAGGTCAACCCCATGTCTAGAACGAACTCTGTCCTCACCTCAATCTCCTAGAATTCTGAGCTTATTTTAAGGTTCATCTGCAGTACCAGCTCCTATAGGAAACCCTTTTCGGTCTTTAGTAGTCTTTTTTCTCTTGAAATGACTTTGCATTTACCTATCTGAGCAAATGTTGCATCCCACAATAGAATGCAAGCTCCTTGAGGACAGGTCTCTTTTTTTGTTGGTGTTTGTAGCTTACCATACTTAGCACAAAGTCTTGAACAAGTACAAAGTCTTAAACTGCTTGACTAGCCCTCAATGGATTGGTTTGAATTGAATTACTGAATTCACAACTGAGAGATTTAAAAAATCTCCCAATCTGTCTTCTGATTAAAAAGCAAACTACCCAGAATTTGCTTTATTTCTTTTCCCCCATTTAATTGAGCTTTCTTTCAAAGTTTAAAACTCTCGTCCTGCAGGTGCTCTAAAGCTTAGGAATACAGTTGATGACAAGTGGATGTCTTTGGGTAACTCATTCTAGCCTACCTTTCTCAGTTGCTGTCTTTGTCTCTCCACCCACTTTCTCTGTAAAGAGAGAGATGTAACAACAGAATGATGTTAGAAAGTTTAGTAACTGGGATTTAATCATGATTAGAGGGGAAATTGCTTCAGATAGACTGCAGATTAGGTAGGAGACAACAAAGACAGGAGCAAGAGACTTTGCTAAGAAAAACACAACGAAAATTTTAGAAGTACGTTAACATTCATTATTGGTCTTAATTATTAATGTTTTGAATGTTTTTAAGATTTATAGTTGGAATAAACCTTAGAACCTGGGAAGGACATTAGAATGTGAATGTCAGAGCTAAAAGGACCTTTAGAACATATAACGACAAAGGTAGAAAGGACGCTCAAACATGAAATGTTAGACTTGGGACATCCCCTCGACCATGAAACATTAGAACTTAGAAGGGACTTTAGAATACATAATATCAAAGATGGAAGGAACCTAAAAATACAGAATATTATAACATAGAGCGTCAGAACTTGAAGGGACTTTAGAAAACAGAATATCAAAACTGTTCTATCTTAAAACATAAAATATCCCAGCAGGGAGGAGCTAAGAGATTAACTAGCTTAATCCCTCCATTTTCCTCTTTTAAGGTACCTTTTTAAAAGTTGATAACCCTTTAACTTATGATATCTTGTTTATTCTCAACTGTTTTAGAAGGTAGGACAATCAACCTAGCAGATATTCTATTGTTTGGGTTTTTTTAGAACTGAGGAAAAAAAAGACACAGAAGTGATCGTCAATTTCCCAAGATCATACAATATCATTGGTAAATAGGACCTAGAAACTAGGTCACCTAGGACTTATCACTACTAAACATAAAGAGTTAGTATCACTAATAGAATTCCCACTGTTTGAGGTACTAAGTCCTAAGCTTTTGTAGTGGGAGATAAGGGAAACAGATGAGGAAATCTAATCCCTCTCCTTGAGATGTTTAATGTAATAACTGACATCTAAACAAAAACATTCAGTTTCCAAAGAATTACTTGCATTTTCTTGTTTAAGCCTTTTAACCATGCTGTATAAAGTCCTATGAGTATTATAGTCCCCATTTTACAGAAAGGGAAACTGAGGGAGGCTAAGAGAGGTTAAGAGATTTGTCCGTGGTCTTACAGCTGGTTACTGTCAGAGATAAGATTAAAACCTAGGTTTTTCTGACCTTTGTCTCTCTATCTCCATTAGGCAGCTCGATGGCACAATGGACAGAGTCCTAGGTCTGGACTCAAGAAGAACTGAGTTCAAATTTCTCCTCAGACATTTACTATCCATGTGACCCTGGACAAGTCACTAAACATATTTTTTCTATTAATTAATGAATTAATTAAAATTTCATATTTAACATTCACTCTCATAAGATTTTGAGTTCCAAAATTTCAATCCCCCCTTTCTTTTCCCCCTCCCCAAGATGGCAAGCAATCTGATATAGGTTATATGTACAATCATATTAAACATATTTCCACATTAGTCATGTTGCGAAAGAAGAATCAGAACAAAAGGGGAAAACTACGAGAAAGGAAAAAAAACAAAACAAAACAAAAAAAAGAAGATAGTATGCTTTGATCTGCATTCAGACTCCATAGTGATTTCTCTGGATGTGGATAGCATTTTCCTTCATGAGTCTTTTGGAGTTGTCTTAGATCCTTGCATTGCTGAAAAGAGCTGTCTGTCGAAGTCAGTCATTGCACAGTGAGTCTGTTACTGTGTACAATGTTCTACTGCTTTTGCTCAATTCACTCAGCATCAGTTCATGTAAGTCTTTCCAGGTTGTTCTGAAATCTGCCTGCTCATCATTTCTTATGGAACAATAGCATTCCATTACATTCATATGCCACAACTTGTGTAGTCATCCCCCAATTGGTGGGTGTCCCCCCAATGTCCAATTCTTTGCCACCACAGAAAGAGCTGCTGTAAATATTTTTGTACATGTAGGTCCTCTTCCCTTTTTTGTGGTCTCTTTGGGATACAGACCTAGCAGTGGTATTGCTGGGTTCAGAGGGTATGCACAGCTTTATAGTCCTGTGGGCATAGTCCCAAATTGCTCTCCAGAATGGTTGGTTCAGTACACAACTCCACCAACAATGCATTAGTATTCCAATTTTCCCACATCTTCTCCAATATTTATCATTTTCCTGTTTTGTCATGTTAGCCAATCTGATGATTTGCATTTCTCTAATCAGTAGTGATTTAGAGCATTTCTCGTATGTGTAGTTTTATTATTCATTATTATATATGCTATACATATAGCATTATTATTCATTATAGGTAGCATTCATTTCTACATCTGAAAACTGTCTGTTCATATCCTTTGACTATTTATCAACTGGGGAATGAAGTCACTTAACTTCTACCTGCCTTGCTTTCCTCATATGTAAATGGGGATGATACTAGCACCTGCCTCATAGAGTTTTATTTTGAGGATAAAATGGATAATACTTGTAAAGTACTTCATAAATTTTAAAGTGCTACGTAAGTGATTGGGCTGGTAGGTGGAGCAGTGGATAGAATGCCAGGCCTGGAGACAGGAACATCTAAGTCCAAATCTAGCCTCAGATATTAGCTTTGTGACCCTGGGTAAGTCACTCAACACTGTTTTCTCCTGTTCCTCATCTGTGCGATGAGCTGGAGAAGGAAATGACATACCACTCTGGTGTATTTGCCAAGAAAATCCCAATGGGATCCCAAAGAATTGGAATAGAGTAAAATGACCAAACAACAATAACATCTGCTACATACAGTGCCAAGTGCTGGAGATATAAAGAAATGGCCAACCACTCCCGCATCTGGGCCAAGAATATCCCAGTGGGATCACAAAGAGTCAAACATGACTGAAACGACTGAACAGCAACACCATGTAAATGGCAGCTAGCCATTATTAGATTGCATTTGCAGTCTTAGAGGACTGACTGAGGCTCAAGGTCGTTAGTGATTTACCCAAGGTCATACAACTGCTTAGAGGCAGGATTTCTATCTAAGTCTTCCAAGTTCAGTATTCTATCCAATGGAGATACTCTTTTGGACTAATCAACGATTTCTGAAAGAGGTAAAAGCTTTCCTGTGCTGCCTACTTCCTGAGCAAAGATGCTCAAACTCCACTTAAACTGAAAATTCTCTAGCTTATCTCTTGCTGGATTTTGTTTTCTAATCAGGTTGGTCATTCTCTCTTTTAGTTTCTCCTTGATCTCATCATGTAGTAAGTCCTTAACATCTCAGTGGGATGAGTTTTCACATTATTTGCAGATGGGGGAAACAGATTCACCAAGACAGGGTTTCTGCTTTCTATGAGCCAATGTAAATCCATGAATTTGGTTCCTGCTGCCTATAGGAAATGGAAAGTAAGGATCCTTTAGATTTTGGCTGTCTACACATGGATGGCAGCAGACTTATTCCCCCTAGAATCTTCAGTTGGCCTGAGGAGGTGTGGTCTATCTGAACAGAGACCCTGCAGTATCATTAATTCCATTCATACTTGAGTGAAGATGGTCTGTGGCCAATCAACATTAAAGATTGGAGTCAAAATGGGTCAACCTCCATGGCTGCCCTGGAACACACACCTTCTTCAATTCCTCCTCTCAAAAGACCCCAGTTCCCTTTAGGGTTCAGCCCATGTGCCATCCCCTGCAGAGCAGTGGATCATGCCAGATTTGAAATGAAGAAGACCTGGGTTCAAATCTCAGTTTCTGACACTAGTTGTGTGGCCACGGAGAAGTTGCAACCACTCTGAACTTCAATTTCCTAAACTATAAAATGGGTATAAATAGTATCTGTAGTTCCAACTTCCCAAGGCTGTTGAGAGGCTCAAATGGGACAATACACGTAAAGGGCTTTGTAGACTTTAAAGCTCTATATAAAGGCCAGTCACATTTTTTTTTCCCAGGAAGCCTTTCCTGAGATAGCCTACCTCAAGTTGGCAGTGTTGTCTCTTTCCTCATATTGTTATACTTTTTGAACTGTGATTTCATTGGTCTGTCCAAGAATTGGCAAACTACTGCCCACAGGGCAAATCTACCCTATCTCTTTAAGAATGTTTTTTATATTTTAAAATAAAGTTTTATGTTATTTATTGGTTGGTTTAACCATTCTTAACTCCCAAACAAAAAGAGGAGATGAATGGATTTGGCCCTCAAACCACAGGATAGTTTGCTGACCCCTAGTCTAGGGAATTTCCAGTGAGAAAATTTCTACCAACAGAAGAGAAAAATCGGTTGGGGTGGGGAGGATCATTGGACTAGACAGGCACTGAGGTCCTTTCCAATTCTAAAACTATAATCTCAAGATCCTATAACTTTGGTTCCATTCTCAGTTCTACCATTTTGTAACTGAGACCGTGGGAAAAATCACAGTATGTGATTTGGTGCTATGAGAAAAAACCACTAGCTCTGGAATCAGAGGATCAGGGTTCAAAGACCAGCTTCTTATTACTTGTACGACCTTGGACAAATCATTTAACCTCTCTGAGCCTCAGTTTCCTCATCTGTAAAACAAGACGGTTGGACTAGATGACCTTGAAGGTCTCTTCCAATTCTTATTCTAGGATTATTGGGCTTTAGTTTGCTCCTCTATAAAATGGAGATGATCAACCTCATCTATTGATGAGCACCTACTATGTGCCAGGCACTTGGATTTATACTTTCTTAACACCTGAATAGCCTACCTCACAGGGTTGTAGCGAAGAGCAAATGGTGGGAGGCAAAGTTTTGCAAATGAGGAACCTGATGTCTATCCCACTGGAATAATGATAGGGATATTTTGGTTTTGTCTTTGTGTGCCTAGGACCTAGCAAAATGTCTTATACATTATTGTCATTGCTCAGTCATTTCAGTTGTGTCCAACTCTTTGTGACCTCATTTTGGAATTTTCTTAGCAAAGAAACTGGAGTGGACTGCCATTTCCTTCTCCCGATCATTTTCCAGATGAGGAAACTGAGGCAAACAGGGTGAAACAGGGTCACACAGCCAGTAAATGTCTAGGGCCAGATTTGACATCAGGTTTTCCTGACTCCAGGTCTGGTGCTCTGTCCATTGTACCACTTGGCTTCCCTTTACATATTATAGTAAGTACATAATTGAAGTTTTATAGCAAGTACATAATTGACATTATTTTTTTAAACAAATAAACTAGTCTCTTACCACTGGGATGGTCAGTTATAACCCTGGAGTCCGTGGAGTTCTCTCTGCTGTGGACTGTGGGCTCTGGAGTGGGTTTGTCATCGGCTCCTGTGGTATGGTGGGGTCTTATGGTTCTTGGGGGCAGCTATGGAGCAGGTGGGAAAACCAGGAAAAAAGCCAGTAAGCAGCCTCACAGAAGGATGAAGGACACTTGTTTGTACTACTTTTCGTGCCTGGGGACTGAGTTCCACTGACTGTACCACCTCAGCCAGAATTTTCAATAGCATTTATCATCTGTATCACACATCTGCCTCTGGGTGGGTCACAGTTCTAACAAAAGAACCATCAGCACAAAATTAATGTGTTGTCTTTTCTTCCTCAGCTAGATTGTAAGCTCCCTGAGGACAGAGAGCATGTATTACATTTTGAAAATATCAAGCCAAAGGAAACAGTCTCTCTCAGAACATTTCCATTACTACAGGCTTGCTCTCTGTGCAAACGCATCTTATCTCATAATGCTCGGAGGACAAGACTTCTTTCTGTAGCATAAGCCACAGTATTTGATAACATTGCAGTGGCCTCAAGCTTGGTCTCTATAAAGGCTAATTTTATTTGAGAAAACTCAGGCCTCTAATCTTGGCTGTGTTCTGTGAGAAATAAAGGTAAACTGAGGCACAAAAATTAAATAAAATGTCAAGTCAACAAACATTTTAGTGCCTACTATGTGCCAGGCACTATGCTAAGCCCTAGGGATACAAAGAAGGCAAAAACAGCCCCTGGCCTCAAGGAGCTCCCTGTCTGATGGGGGAGACAACGTGCAAATGATTATGTATAAACCAGCTACTTGAAGGATAAATAGGGGATAATTAACAGAGGAAAGGCACTGGAATTCAGAGGGACTGAGGAAGGCCTCCTGTAGAAGGGGGGATTTTAACTGGGACTTGAAGGAAGCCAGGGAAGCCAGGAGGGAGAGATGAGGAGGGAGAGCATTCCAGGCATGAGGGACAGTGAGGGGAAATGCCTGGAGTCTGGAGATGGAGGGTCTTGTTTGAGGAACTGCAAGAAGGCCACGCCTCACTGGATCAGGGTATGAAGGGGGTGGTATAAGGCATAAGAAGATTGGAAATGTAGGTAGAGGGGGCAGGAGGTTAGAAAGGGCTTTGAACACCAAACAGAGGATTTTATATTTGATCTTCTTCTCTAGAATACCCATCACAGTGCTTTGTACAGAGAAGGGTTCCAATATTTGTTGGCTGTTTGAAAGCGGTGGGAAGGAGAAATTATAGGAGTAGAGATCAGAGTTGGAAGGGACCTTCGAGGTCCACCTAATCCAATTTCCTCATTTTATGGATGATGAAACCTGGAAGCCCAGAAAGGCAACTTATGCAAGGTCACATAGGTAGTAAGAGGCAGAGCTAAAATCCTAATCCAGGTTATAGGAATAGGGATGTTGGATTGGAAAGAAACTTGAAGGTCCTTCTAGTCTGATCCCTTCATTTACAGATGAAGAAACCCAAAGAGAAAATGACTTGCCTAAGGTCACACAGGGAGTAAGTGAAAGAACTGGGTTTTGTACCCAGGTCACAGGATCACAAATTCCAAGTTGGAAAGGACCTCAGAAGTTGTTCTGCCCAACCCCCTCAATTTAAAGGTGAGAAAAGCTGGACACCCAGAGGGGGTAAGTGTTTTGTCCAGGTCACATAGGTAGTAAGTGACAGAGCTAAGATTTGAACCCAGGTCTGCTGACTCCAAATCCAAGATTCTCTCCACTGGACCACACATTGATTCTTGAGTAGACTGTTCAGTTTGGAAGGCAGTGGGAGTGTCCTCTCCATAAAAGATGCAAACTCTTGTTGCTCCACCAACTCCATGGGCAGGGCAGAGGGCTTTGAGCCACCTTGAGATGCCGAGGGATTCAATATGGATTCCAGTTACGCAGCCACGCCAAAGTTACGCAGTGGCTCAGGATAGTGTTAAGTGTGAACAGCCAAGGACCTCTCTCCCCGAGTTGGACCCAGATGGTAAATCACCAAAGGGAAGCCCTAGAATTTATTGACGGGCACTGCCCCCCAGGTCCCGCCTTGGATCCACTGGTGGGTGGGAGAAGACTAGGGGTCATGGACTCGCAATTAAACTTAGACCCCTCCCTTTCCCTCCGTAAAGTTCAGAGTCAATGAATAATTATGGGCAGGAAGAACAAATCACAGCCCCTGGAAAATCCCTTCCAAGCCCGGAACTCCTCTGAGATCTATGCAGGTAGTTACCCCAGAATTCCAGAAGTGGAAGGAATCTCAGTGGTCTTCTATTCTACCCCACACCCCTGAAAGCAAACCCATCTACAACACAGCCTTTGCTTGGCCTGCAAAGAGGAGGAACCGACTAACTCAGAGGCAGTCCATTCCACTTTGGGACAGCGCCATGCCCACACTCACTGCTTTCCACAGGCTGTCCCCCAGGCCTGAAATGCACTCTCCGCTTTCCTAAGCCTCAGAGGCCCTCTCACCCCTAAGACGAAGCTGAGGCATTACCCATTATATGAAGCCTTTCCTGGTCCACTTCCCTAACTCCTAGTGCCCTCCCTCCCAAATGATTTTGTACATATTTGTATTTGTTCATTCAATCGACATTTATTGAGTCCACTCCAGGGATGGGGAACCCACAGCCTCGAGGCCACATGTGGCCCTCTAGGTCCTCAATGTGGCTCTTTAATTGAATCCAAACTTCACCTTCTGGACTCTGTGTCAAGCACTGTACTAAACAGTGGGGATCCAAAAAAAGGGCAAGAGACACCCCGCCCACAAAGAGCTTATGATCTAATGGGAGAGACAACATAGAAACAGATATACACAAAGCAAGCTCTAGACAGGATAAATAGGAAATAATTAACAGAGAGAAGGCAGTGGAATTAAGAGGGATGGGGGAAGGCTTCCTGGAGAAGGTGGGATTTTAGGTGGGACTTAAAGGAAGCCAGGGAGCTCAGTAGTCAAAATGGAGAAGGTAGCGCATCCAAGGCATGGAAGACAACCAGAGAGAATGTCCTGAGTCAAGGGATGGAGGGTCTTGTTTGTGGAACAGCCAGTAGATACAGATATACACACATGTATGTGTGTATGTATTTACATACAAACACACGCATACACACATGTATATGTGTATGTATGTGTGCGCATGTGTGTAGATATGTGTGTATGTGTGTTTGTGTGTACTTGTTGGCTCCCCTGGTAAAATGTCAGCTCTTTCTACAGAGGGATTGGTTCATTCTTTATACCTGGATTGCCAGCACTTAGCACTGTACTGTTGGATGACAGGTGACATTTAAAAAATAGGTGACATAAATAAATGACATAAATGTTGATCGATCGTTGAGAAGTTGTTTTTTTCTGGCATCAAATCTAAATTTGCCTCCTTGCAATTCTCCCCCTCCCTTCTTAGTTCTTCTCTCTTGAACTGGAAGGAACAAATATTTTCCTCTTTCTGCTTCACAGTCCTTCATAGGATTATAGATTTAGATTTGGAAGGGACTTAGAGGCCATAGAGTTCAACCTCCTCATTTTACAGATGAAGAAACTGAGGCAGAGACATTACAGGCAGAGAGACTTACCTGGGCCACACAGATAGCAAGTATGTGAGGGAGGATTTGAAGCCAGGCAGGCCATCCTGACTCCAAGCTCTGTGTCCTAGCCACTAGGCTTTGCTGTCACTCTTAGGATACTGGAAGATAGAGCTCTCAACCCCTTCCCCCAAACTCCCATAGAGAGCCACCTACTTCCTTGCCTTTTGTTGTACTTCGACCCAGCCTTCAGCTCCAAGAATTAAACCTGGCAAGAAAATGAGATGGCATGAGGCTGGAGATACCCACCGGTGTTGATGCATCATCAGAACCACGAGGATGCCAGTCACTGGAGACTGCCGTGGTCATGCCATCTTCTGGTAAGGTTGTGCTGGCTGGAGGAGAAAGACTGAGTCAGAACTCCACGCTGGAAACTCTCCATTCCTCCCTTCCTCTGTGGGGGGTTACATTTCTCTCCAGTCATCTCGTGGGCTTTCTGCTGCTCCAGAGACCTGACCTCCAGAGACCATTTCCCCAGAGACCTGGAGAGCTACACAGGACTTCAGTATTGCAAAAACCTGTCATTTTCTCAGTGGGAAACCCCTCCAACAATGCAAATTTCAACCCACTTGTAACTTACGGTCTTAGACAGGTGTTTAAGGCTCAGAAAAGGCAAATGATTGGCTGAGGGCCACACATCTAGAATCTTAGCCTGAGTCTTCCTGACTCCAGGGCCCACTCCCTATTACTACTATGCTGCATGACCATTCAGAAAATACTACTGTTCATTCATTGATTCATTGATTCATTCATCTATCTATTTATTTGTTCATTTATTTATGTTCATTCATTTATATATGTATCTATGTGGTATAGTGGACAGAGCATTGAGCTTACAGTCTAGAATAACTGGGTTCAAATTTTACCCATGATTCTTATTAGCTTCATGACCCTGGGCAAGTCTCCTAGCTTTTCTGGGCCTAAGGCATTTTCCACCAAACTTTTCCACTAGGCTACAGATGTCTTACTATGATCTGCATACCCACTGACTCTACGTCTTTTTTCCTCCCTCCTTCCCTCCCTCCCTCCCTTCCTTTCTTCCTCTTTTCCTTCCTTTTTTCTCCCTCCCTCCCTTTCTTTTTTCTCTCTCTCTTCCTTCCTTCCTCTCTTCTTTCCCTCCCTCCTTCCTTTCTTCTTTTCTTCTTCCATTTTGTATTCCTTTCTCTCTTTCTTTCTAAGAAAATCCCAAGATCATAGAAATAAGAATTTCAGAGACCAATCCACTCTTTTACAGAGGAGGAAACTGAGGCACAGACAAGTCAGTTACCATGCTCAAAGTTACACATGTAGGGCTGGGAGTTGGTCCTCTGACTCCAAACCCAGCTTCCTTTCCAATGTACCACACACACTGCCTATGATCGTAGACTAATCATCCCATTTCACAGATGAGAACAGAGTGGAATGCATCTGTAATATACTAAATGGTGTCTCCTACCCACCCTGCTGTTTTGTGGCCCTGGTTTACTGTTCTTGTCTCCACAGAGGTTGCTGTTCATCCTTCATTCTTGAAGAGGACCATGACATCAGGGAGGTGATGCCATGACATGCAAGTGAATTGGATTTAAGTGAGGGAGGGCTGTGCAAAGTCACCAGCCTCACTTTCTCCTCCGGAGCCATCTGAGTCCAGTGGCCAGATGTGGATTAGGATGACTGGAGATGGCCCCGGAAGCAGTGGGAAATGACCTTGGCTCCAATCACCACTGCTTGACCTGTGCACACACCTTATTGCCTCCCACATACCAGAGCCAAGCACTCTAGGCTCCCTGCCCATCCAAGCGAGGAATCTACCTCCCTCTATGGGCACCAGGCTCCCTGCTTACCTCCTATTGACTCCATCTGCCCCAAATCTGCCTCTCAGACAGAGCTGTCCCCAGGGTGGAGTGACTCGAGCCTTTCCCGGGGCTCCAGATTGGGGTGGCCTGTACTTCTCTGGGCCAGGGTCTCAAAGCCTCTCTGTGCTTGACCAGTTCAGAGCCACCCTGTACTATAGTCCACATTCCCTTGTCCAGCCTCAATTGTCCTCCACCAAGACTCCATCAGCATTACTAGCACCCATCTCCTGGGCCCACTGAATGTCAGCTTCTTCAGGGAAGGGACTGTTTTTACCTTTTCTTTTGGTATCACCAGTTCTTAGCACTGTTTCTAATATGAGTAATTGTTTAACAAATGTTTGTTTGCCTACTGTTACATCCTCTTCTCCCTGTGACATTTTCCCTCCTCTCATTCCACTTGAAAGCCAGTAGGCTGCCCTCTTTTCTGACCCAACTGTACTGCGACTGTGTCTTGGGTTCCCACCTTATATCTTTCCCAGGTGTCATCCATGCTTTTGCTTTGTATTCCAACTGAATTTGCTCAGCACAAGAATTTCTAGCTATCGTTCTGCCTTCAAATCAATGAAATTCAATGGGCATTTATTAAGCACCTACTATGTGCTAAGTTCTGAGGACGCAGACAAAAATTAAATAGTCCGTGTCCTTAAGGAATTTATGTCTTATTGGGAGAAAACATTGCCCTTTGGCCTTGGCTTTTCACCAGCTCCATTTGGAATGACCTTGCTTCCTGGCATGGAAGGCTTGGACCCTCTTGGGTTGTTCTCCACCCATGCATGGGGGAAAAATGTGAGAACCTAGCCATCCAGTGACTCTTAGAAATCACTTGTGAGCCTGCTAAGCCCTGCTGAGTAGTGACGGATGACTCGCCCCAGTCTTTGAAAGGCAACATGGCACAGTTGGACTCGGCCCTGGACTTGAAGACCTGAATTAAAATCTCACCTCCCCTTGACTGTGTGACCTTGGGCAAGTCACTTTAGTGTCCTTATCAGTATAATGAGGGACTTGGACTTAATGGCCTCCAAGGTCCCTTCCTGCCTTAAATCAGTGATTTTACAACTTCACTACAAACACAATATATGCCCACTTGAAGAGTTAACAGTCTGACTCATGAGCCCCAGCCCCGTCCCCTGGCATGGGATAAGGTTCCCGAAATCTCATGACCAAACCATCTTGCAAAACAGGAGAGAAAACACGTGCCTTTGAGGGGAGGAGAAGGGGGTTGTTTGGAGATCTCTATGAGTCATGGAAGAGCAGCTGGGCTCTGAGACTGGTAGCACCTCTGTCTGTTGAAAGACATCTTTTTCTCCCCCTCTGCTTCCCTTATAAATATGCTCACAGACAGCCAAGCCCAAGACAAGAACTAATAAATATTTGATTGGAACTTTTCTGGCAGCATAGGAAGGAGCAAAGTCTCTGGCGTCCTCCCTGCTTCTGCTTTTCATTCTGCATTTGATGCTCTAAATCCCCATCCCTGAAGATGGATAGCATGGAATCAAGCGTCTGAGCGTGTGGGTTTATTTGTAGTCTCTGAGGGAAAGGGTTTCACCAGGAGCCATAGTCAAATCATTGTTGGACCCCAGGGATGGCTTCCCTCCTCTCCCATCCCCCACCCCCATTCACTGGAGGTCAAGGTTTGGCTGCTAGAGGGATTGATGGGGCCTATTGAAGACAAATGTCGAGTCGAGCTGTGTGCTTGGGGGAGGAGGGGAGGAGAAAAGCTCCTTGGCAGACAAGGACCCTTTATGAAGGAGCCAAGCATCTCATTGCCCTCCTTTTCAGAACTAGAGTTCTGAAGCTGTCGTACCAAACAATGCATTTTTAAAAGTATTTTCTGGAGGTATTCTGTATTGATTCTAAGAGTTGCTTGTCAACTCCCAAATAGCACGGAAACATCAATAGAAATGTGCATATTTATAGAAATATACACAGATAAATAGGCATATAGGTATATACATACATACATACAATATATACATACATATATATGTGTGTGTGTGTGTATGTGTATGTGTGTGTGTGTGTAGATATAATATATATGGAAAGTCAGCACAGCCAGGCAGTGCCATGTAAAAAAAACCCTCGGACTTGGAATCTTGAACTTGGGATGACTAGACTCAAGTTTGAATCCTGGCTCTTACCACTTACTCCCTGTATGAGCTTGAGAAAGTCCCTTTATCTCCCTGGGACCTCAGTTTCTCAATCTGAAAAATGAGGGGATTAGACTAGCTGACCTCCGAGTTCCCTTCCAGCCTTAGAACCCTTTGAGCCCTAGTTGATAAAATGCTGGATTCAGAGTCAGGAAAACCTGGGTTTGGTTGAATTCGTTACATACTAAAAACAAAACAAAGCAGAACAAAATCCCAACAGCAAGCTTTATACAACAGATGAACAGATCTGAGGTTCCAAATACAAGAACTCTCTTTTTCTGTTCTTTGTATATGGAAATGTTCATGTTTGTTGGGATTTGTCAAATTTGGAATAACAAGAAATGAAAATTAAAATCTTGGAAAAAAAACAAACCCCAAGTTCATATCTTGTCTCTGAGGCCTGCTAGCTATATAACCACCAAAAAGTGATCTTACCATCTCAAATGATCAGTTTCCTCAAAGGAGGCAGTGTGCTACTACAGAAAGACCACTGAATTTGGATTCAGAGAACCTATGTCTGAATCTTGGCTCAGCAGTTTGCTACCTATATGATGATGGGAAGTGGTTTTAGCCTCTCGGCAACTGAGTTTCTTCATCTGTAAAATGAGGGACCTCTAAGAGCCCTCTGTCCTCTGAATCTAGGCTTCTAAGGTAATAAATGTAAAGTGGAAAATACTTTGCAAATCTTTAAGCACTATATAAATGTGAACTATTATTACACCACACTGTTTCTCACATAAGTATAGCACATCACATATACTAGACACATACATAAAAGCAGTGAACACAAATGAATACATACTTAAACACATGTATGTGCATACATATGCCTATACATGTGTGTGCACACTACACACATGCCTACACATGTGCACAAATTTATATACATATACTTAGATGTATTTAGATGCCTACTTACATGTATCTAAATATATGCATACTCCCACAAGCCTACATACATATGCATATGACATACCATACATGTATATAAACATACACACATGCATTTTAAATCCCAGTATAGAATGGAGCAGGTTACTGTGCTGGGAGCTCTGGTGTTTCTCCCTGTTCTTCCCTCTCCTATAACCCACTCAATACAAACTTCAACTCTGGATAGACAAAGGCAAGGTCCTGAATGACAGACAGGATCAGGGGGCGTTCCTTTTGTCTCCATGACCTCCCTTTCTCTCGGCTTCATGGGAAAGTTGCTCTTAATGAGAGATCCCAACCCATCCCTCAGTGATAATAGTCCCTGTTGTCCCGGCATTACAGGTTCCTGCTGGGCACAGCTGTTGGATTTCAGCCTGCCTTCCCATCTTTTTCCTCTCCATTGTGGAGTGTGGGTTATGTAGTGCA